TTTGTTGAGTATACCCAGACCAATGTTAAAATCTTTTCCCCAAAGTTTTCTTCTATATGGTTTCAGGTTTTAAGTTTCAGTCTTTAATACATTTTAAGTCCCTTTTTTTGTATTGTATATGGTGTGAGGCAAGGGTTTAATTTCCTTCTTCTGCATATGGAAGTATTTTCAATGCAATTTACTGAAGAGGCTATCCTTTTAATACTTATCCTTTTCAATTTGTGACCATAGATGACTTTCCACTTATCTGTATTTAATTTCTTTCATCAGTGTTTTATAATTTTTAGTGCAAAAGTCTTATACCTTTTTGGTTAAATGGTTAAATGTATTCCTGGATATTTTTTGTTGTTGTTATTGCTATTGTAAATGGGATTTAAATTTTTTTGTTCCTTTTCAGATATTTTGTTGTTTATGGATAGAAATATAGATAGGATTTTTTTTTAATGTTGGCATTATGTCCTACAACTCTACTGAAGTCATGAATTAGTTCTAAGAGGGTTTTTTATTGTAGTTGCTGAGGCTTTATAGTTTTTTTTTGTTTGTTTCTTTTTTTTGTGCGGTTTTTGGCTGGGGCTGGGTTTGAACCCGCCACCTCCGGCATATGGGGCTGGAGCCACAGGTGCCGTCTGAGGCTTTATGGTTTTTTACATCATGCCATATGCAAAGATAATTTTATTACTTCTTCTCTGGTTTGGATGTATTTTATTTCTTTTTCTTATTTAATTCCTCTTGCTAGGACTTCCAGCACTAAGTTGAATAGAAGTGATTTCTCCTCTTATCTTCCTCAGTTATTTGATGTTTTTTTTTTTGTAGTCATTTGCTTTGATTAGTTTCTATTTATCTTTTCAGTATATATTATAGATACTTTTTTGTGTTTGGTTACCTCAAGGCTTGCATAAAATATCTTGTAGTTAAAACAGTCTGTTTTAAGTTGATAACTTTAATTACATACAAAAAACTCTAAACTTTTACCATCTCCTTTGTACTTTGCGTTTGTGTAGTCAGAGTGTACTTTTTTACATTGTGTATCCATTAACAAAATTTTGTGCTTTAACTTTTATATTAGGAGTAAAAGTAATTTGTACAGCACTATCACAGTGTTATATTATTCTGTATGTGTCTGTAATTACCTTTACTAGTGAGATTTTTCATTCATATACTTTTACATGGCTATTTAGTATGTTTTTGTTTCAATTAGGCATGTTTGTAAGGTTGGTCTGAAAGTGACAAACTCACAGTTTTTGTTTGTCTAAAAAAGACTTTATCTTTCTTTCATTTTTAAAGAGTAGTTTTACCAGATAAAATATTCTTGGTTAACATATTTTTTTTCAGTACTTGGAATGTATCATTCTGTACTCTCCTGGTCCGCAAGATTTCTACTGAGAAATCTACTGTTGTCTTGGGAAGGTCTCCATATATGTGACAAGTCACTTCTGTCTTGATACTTTCAAAATTCTTTTTGTCTTTAACTCTTGAAAAATTAATTATAATGTGTCTTGGTGTAGATCTCTTTATGTTCAACTTATTTAGAATGCTTTGGGCTTCTTGAATATGGATGACTATTTCCTTCTTCTGATTTGGGATGTTTTCAGTAATTATTCCTTTAAATAATCTTTCTTCTAGGCTGGGTGCAGTGGATAGCACCTGTAATGCTAGCACTCTGGAAGGCCGAGGCAGGTAGATTGCTTGAGTTTAAGAGTTAGAGACTAGTCTGAGCAAGAGCAAGGCCTGTCTCTACTCAAAATAGAAACAGTGGCACATACCTGTAGTTCCAGCCACTTGAGAGGCTGAGGCAAAAGGATTGCTTCAGCCCAAGAGTTTGAGATTGCTATGAGCTATGAAGCCATGGCACTCTACCCAGGGCACTGAGTTAGACTCTATCTTAAAGAAAAATAATAATTTTTCTTCCTCTTTCTGTTGTTCTTTTTTTTCTTGGACTTTCATAATGTGTATATTGGTTCACTCGGTGGTGTCCCATAAAACTTGTAGGCTTTCTTTATTCTTCTTTTTTTTTTTTGCTTTTGACTGAATAATTTCAAATGTTCACTGATTTTTTATTCCTGATCCGTTCTGCTTTTGAAACTCTTTATTGCACTTTTTTCATTTCACTTACTGTATTCTTCAGCTCTAGAATTTGTTTGCTGCTTTTTCATGATTAATATTTCTGTAACTTCTATTTTTGTTCACATGTTTTTCTGATATCATTGCACTATCTGTGTTCTCATACTGCTTCTTAAGACAGACATTTATTTTGTTAGGAAACTCATAGATATTCATTTCTTTGGCATCAGTTACTAGGAATTTATTGTGGTCCTTTAATGTTGTCATGTTTCCTTGATACTTCATGTTCCTCGTAGTCTTGCATCTGGAGGAATAGTCATCTCTTTCATCTACTCAGATGTTACAGTCTAGCTTTGGTGGGGAAAGCCCTTCATATGCAGTATGAGGGTGCCAACTTGGTGGAGTGTGTGGTGATACACAGCTTCTGAAGGTTGTGTGGCACTGGCATGGACCAGTGGGTGTGGGGCACTGCTAGGTCTTGGGTATAGGTGTGAGGGCAGTGATGTCGTCCAGGTATGGGCATGTGTGTAGCAGTACCAGGTCTGGGATGCCAAGGGGGAGGACAGTGACTTTTCCCGTGCAGGAAAATGTAGTGGCCTTGGGGATTCTTCTTGGCACTGAGCTGTGCTGGTCTGACAGCACAGGGTGACGTAGGTAAAATGCTTTCTATGCTTTTCTGTGTGACCATCCTTAGTTCACCAAAAATGTTCAATTTTGCTTATTCATGGTAAATTTTTGAAAGTTATGTATATTCTGAATGTTTGCTCTTTAATATAGCAAATGTAATTGCATTGATTACATGTTAAATATTGCTAATATCTTTAGGATATTTTGAATGTTATTTTTTATTTTTTCAGATTGTAGTCATTTAAAATATTCCTCAAATGGTAAGAGAGCAATAATTTTGTATTTCTACAGTAAAAACTTCTACTATAAATTAAGTTCTCAAAGAGAATCCTCTTTATTATGAAAACTTAACGCTCTAAT